TTACTTTCGGGGAAACAGGGTATTATTTCCGGGAAAACAGGGTAGGGGCACGGCACTGGACAGAAGCACAGGAGGCGAGATCTCTGCTCCCAAAATTGCATCCTGTATCGGAGTACATATAAGCTGATAAGCTATAATATAAGCTGATAGGTGTGCCCAGTGTCTAATAAAGAGAAGGTGACATGATAGCAGTCTTCCAATATTTGAGAGGCTGTCACAGAGGGGGGGGGGGGTGTCGATCAATTATCCGAAGCATCGGACAGCAATGGGTGGAAACTAATCAAGAAGAAGAGATACAATCTAGAACTAAGGAGAGATTTCCTGATGTCTAGGACAGTTGAACCAGTGGTGGGATTCAAAAGTTTTTTACTACCAGTTCTGTGGGCATGTCGTGTCTTGGTGGGCGTGGCAGGGGAAGGATACTGTAAAATCCACATTCTCTCCCCACTCCAGGAGGAGGATACTGCAAAATCTACATTCCCTTCCCACTCCTGGGGAAGGATACCGTAAAATCTTCATTCCCTCCCAATCCTGGGGTAAGGATACTGCAAAATCCCCATTCCCTCCCTACTCCAGGGGAAGGATACTGTAAAATCTCCATTCCCTTCTCACTCCAGGGGAAGGATACTGCAAAATCCCCATTCTTTCCCCACTCCAGGGGAAGGATACTGCAAAATCTCCATTCCCTTCCCACTCCAGGGGAAGGATCCTGTAAAATCCCCATTCCCTCCACACTCCAAGGGAAGGAAGGATACTGCAAAATCCCCATTACCTCCCCACTTCAGGGGAAGGATCCTGCAAAATCCCCATTCCCTCCACACTCCAGGGGAAGGAAGGATCCTGCAAAATCCCCATTCCCTCTCCACCTCACTAACCTGCTTTCCAGTTCCGTTCTCCTGTGCAGGGCAACAGAAGACCCAGCCGATCAGCTGGGACTCTGATCAGCTGGGACTCGGGAGACTGCGAACTGATGGGGGCGGGGCCAGCCAGAGGTGGTATTTGCCGATTCTCTGAACTACTCAAAATTTCCACTACTGGTTCGCCAGAACTGGTCCAAACCGGCTGAATACCACCTCTGGTATAAGGTCTCCTGCTGGAACAGAGGGGGTTGGACTAGAAGACCTCTGAAGTCCCTTCCAACTCTTGTTATTCTGTAATTCTGCTTGCACTCCAGTCCCACAGGTGTCTAAACAGGCTTAATGGAGACACGCTGGGCTTCAGACTTTACTGGGCTGAGAAAGTCTGAACAAGCAGCCACAAGGGGGCATTCCTGCAAGATTCGGGAGAACACCCAGCCCCAGCCAATACCTGAGGACTTTGATGGTTTCTTGCCACTCTTTCTGGCTGCTTTCCCAGTCGTCGACTTCCAGCCAGTCTGAGTTTTCTGCAGCGAGCCTCGCCATGGCCACTCGGTGACTGGCGCTGATCAGGCCCTTCTTCAGATAGGCGTCCCCCACAGGCGAAATAATCCCTTTCACTACTTTGTATTTCCCTGCGGGAGCCGATCAAGAAAAAACCTGGGTGTTTGCAGTCGTTGGAGGACCAACCAGGTTTAAATTGCCATTTAGCGATAAAGCTCCCCGGGTAATCTTGGACCAATTGTTTCTCTCCCTTCTTGCTTTAAATTACCAGCATCCTAACAAGCAAGGGTTATAAGTAGCATGAGAAGGGAGGGAGGGAGTGAGTCTGGAGTTTAAGAGTGAATGAGGGAGGGAGAATGGAAGGAAGGAAGGAGTTTAAGAGTGAGTGAGTGAGGGAGTGAGGGAAGGAGGGAGAAAGGAAGGGAAGAAGGAAGGAAGGAGTTTAAGAGTGAAGGAGGGAGGGAGAAAGGAAGGAAAGAAGGAAGGAAGGAGTTTAAGAATGAATGAGGGAGGAAGTAAGTAAGTCTGGAGTTTAAGAGGGAGGGAGAAAGGAAGGAGTTTAAGAGTGAATGAGGGAGGGAGGGAGAATAGAATGAAGGAAGGAAGGAAGGAAGAAAGAAAGGAGTTTAAGAGTGAATGAGGGAGGGAGTAAGTAAGTAAGTCTGGAGTTTAAGAGGGAGGGAGAGAGGAAGGAAGGAAAGAAGTCTGGAGTTTAAAAGTGAATGAGGACATGAGAATGAGAGCATTCTTTGATAATGTGACAAAATTAGTGGACCAGAGGAATGCCGTCGATATAGTTTACTTGGAGTAAGGCATTTGATAAGGTAGACCATAACCTACTATTGGATAAAGTAGAAGAATGTGGGTTAGACAGCATCATCACCAGATGGATTCGTAACTGGCTGACCAACCNAGGGGCTAAAAACAGGACCTCATCAGGGCTAAGAAATGAGAAGCAGGCCTCAGAGTCACATACAAACCGCCATGCGGAGGTGGCCAGCCATCGATTCAAAGCCGAGCCGTATTCTGCACCCGTTCTGCTTGAAACCAGAGCGGGACATCAAAGCTAGCAGCCAAAGGCTGTTTTCAGCCAGCTCTGAATCTCCACGGTGGGAGAACAGGAGCTCGGCAAGCAGATGGGAGGGCGGAGCTGCGACCGTTCCGTCACCTCTTTGTTTCCTCTGCAGAAGCTCCGGGTTGAATTCGCCAGTTTTCTGCAAGTTCACACGCAAACAAGCCAGTTTGTGGTCATTTGGGCTGCTCAGCAGATCGCTTTCCAAAATTCAAACCGGGCATGCAAGGGGATTCCACCGGGGAGGAGACAGCAGCTAAACCTGCAGCCAATCCGCCCCGATTCCTTCTCTTTCTCTTTCTCTCTCTCCCCATTCCATCCTGGTGCCCATCAAAAATTGATACTCTCATGCATTTCTCTGCAAAGGGGCGAGGGTCACCCCTGCGTTCTGGTCTTCGGTCTCGGCGGTGTACAAGTTATGCTCTTGGATGTAGGCCTGGACCCTGTCGGGCACTAGGTAGCGTATGCTCTGGCCCCTCCTGAGGGCTCTCCGTATCTTGGTAGCCGAGATGTCATTGGTGATCCATTCCTCCACCAGGTCGATGTTCTCCTTGTGCTTCCATAGGGTGTCCGATTCGTAGATGAACTTCTGGGCGTGGTTCCCCAGCCTGGTGACGCAAACCATGCCGTGCTTGGAGACGATTTCCTGGATATCTTCCGGCTTCCAGAGGCTGGGCACGGCGAAGGACTCCAGAACGTCGGTTCCGCACAGCATCTTCAGCTGGGGGAGGCCTGGAGGAGGAGACAGGACAGGTAGGGAAGGAAGTGGGATAGCCGAGCACTATCCACACCAAACCAGACCTCCAAGCTCCTTTTCAACTCTTGTTATTCTACACATCGTAATCCGTTGTAGAAAATATGAAGACATTTGAACTAACGCCTTAAAAATAAGGCTCAGATTGGGCATCCCACCATAATGGNCTGCCAAAAAATGGCCCATTTTTTGCTCATGTTTGCCCTTCCCAATCCCCAGGACATTTTGCAGGCCTCCCAAACCCTCTGCACGTCCATGTTTATGAAGGGGGCGGGGTTTCAGGAGGCCAAAAATGCTGTGTTCAGTGTATAAGACGCAGCCAGATTTTCACGGTTTTTTTTTGGGGGGGGGAGGTATGTCTTATACTCTGAAAAATACGGTAAGTGCAGGGCCTGAGTGGAGGCTCTGGGAGGGCGAAATACAGCCATGTTTTCAGGCCGACTTAACTTTTTGCAGAGTTAAAACTGAAATGAGACCCAACTGCCAGCACAGTCGGTTTTCAAAGTTCAATATTCAGGGTCAGCCCTAAGCCAAGGGCGACTTTGCCATCCCTGCGGAAAAAATGACCAAAACTGATTTGATTTCTGATTACATTTCACCACATTTATTGTTATTTTGCCCATCCACATGACAGAGAAGGGTATGTGTTGATTTTGTGGTTCATTCACATTACGATTTTGTTATCAAGTCCAGGATTTAAAGTATACACACGCACGCACACAGTTTTACAGCAGCATTGTGATTTTTAAGGGTAGGTTGTGTAGAGGGAAGCAAAGTGCAGTTCTGCGGTTAAAACCCACGTGCATAAAAGGACTCTCTTTTTTTTTGGTTAATAGGTAAAATATTAAAAAAAGAACAACACTAAACATTTCCAAGGAAAACGTCATAGAGGCAGACACAGAAAATAATCAGAAATAACAACATTGATGAGGGAAGACTTTTTATAAGGGTATTTCTTATTCCAGCATGTATATTTTCTCCCAACACTAAACAGAATCTGTAACAGTCCGGAGCCAATCTTCCATCATCATAGCCAAATTTGTGTTTTCTTTATTTCCTGTTATTTCTCTTTCCCCTCTCCCCTATTTCCATTTTTTTTTAAATTTACGTTACACAGCTGAATTTTTTTTTAAAAAAAAAAGCTTCAAATGAGCTCGTTCCTGCTAGGGCAGAAATTTGAGCAGCAGCAAAATTTATCGCATGTTTCTTACTCCCGAATCAACAGTTCCGACTCGATCGAAATAGGGCAGTGTTTCCCAAACTTGACAACTTTTAAGATGAGTGGACTTCGACTCCCAGAATTCATGTTGTCTGGGGGAGTTCTGGGAGTTGGAAGTCCACCCATCTGAAAGATGCCAAGTTTGGGGGAAAAAAACCCCACTGATTTAGGGGATGGAAAAAAAAATCCTAGGATATATACAATGAGCTGCTGAGTGGAAACCACGGAAGATAAACTAGGTTTGGTAGTTTACAGAGGCCACTGTGTAACTGTGGCCACGCAGGAAAGACCACCTTTGTTATCTTCCTGATGGCCAAAATAACCCCCCACATGATCGGTCTGCATGGCTTACATGATTTGGATGCTCTAACCATAATTAAAAAATAATAATCCATGCTTGTAGAAAACTCCTACATTATAATAAAGGTTTGCCTAGTGTTTGTTATCTGTGTGGATGTTGGTGTGTTTTTTTTTTAATGTAGGCTTATTAACCATCCAACAGGGCTAAACTCTTCAATGATAGACCCAGCACTTTAAAAAGTTACATTCTGAGGTCACCTTTGGCAGATGGTTTGAAATGCCCGCACGGTTTACGGCTCATATTTACAACTAAGAAAGTACTTTAGTGTGTCAATTGAACGAGGCACATAGGGTGGCATTCTCTCCCCCCCCCCCCCCCCNGTTTCTTTAAAAAAAGAAGAAAAACCACCATATTTTTCAGAGTGTAAGACGCACTTTCCTCCCCCCCCGCCTAAAAGAGGGAGAATGTAGCCCCGCACACCCACCAGCCCCTGTCTCCCAGCAATTTGCCTCCTTGCAGCAAACAGCAAGCAGCCTGTTTGAGCTTCAGCACAGCCTGATTAGCACAAGCAGCTGATTGTCGGTCGGATCTGCCTCCCCACGATCAGCTGTTTCAGGCTGCAGGGGATTGCCATGGCCTATTGCCCCCACACACACCATTTTCGCCCGCCCCCCGCATCCAATTTTTGGCCTCTGCACGCCCGTTTTCGGCCTCCAGGCACACCCCATTTTGCACCCATTCTGATCCCTGCTGCCTTGAACGGGTTGGAAAATGGGGCGTGGGGAGGCTGAAAATGAGATGCAGAGGTCAAAAACGGGACGCGTGGAGGCGCCAATAGGCTATAGCAATCCCTGCACTCTGAAACAGCTGATCGTACAGCTACTTGTGCTAGTCAGGCTGTGCTGAAACATAAACGGACTGTTTGTTGTTTACTGCAAGGAGGCAAATTGCTGGGAGGCAGAGACAGATTTTTTTTCTTGTTTTCCTCCCCAAAAGCTAGGTGTGTCTTACATTTCGGAGCGTCTTCTACTCCGAAAAATTCAATATTTTCATTTTCCATTGGAAGAAAAGGAAAAAAAAAAGAAACCAGTAAGAGAAGTTGTTTCATTCATACTATATAGAAAGCCAATCGGTTCCATGCAATGGAAGTAAATGAAAGGAAGACCTGGGATTTTGCAATCTTCTGACATCACACCAGCGCCTGCAATAAGGCGACGACAAATTTAGTAGAAAGAGAGCAGTGTGCTGCAGTTGCCAGCTTCCTCTCTGAACGAAAACCAAGTTTCTGGTCCTCATGAATACGAAGCTAAGCAACTGTAAGTTCAGGTTTTGCCAATATTTTGGAAAGGCCAATTTTAATGTGGTTTTAGCTGCTACAAAGTAGAGTCGTCTTTTTCTTTGCAAATACAAATAGCAATAGCAATAGCAGTTAGACTTATATACTGCTTCATAGGGCTTTCAGCCCTCTCTAAGCGGTTTACAGAGTCAGCATATCGCCCCCNTTAGATAGTGCCCAATGTTCAAGTTTGTCAAGAGCCTTCTGTATCTATATAACTATATCTTTTGCATATAGTTTTGTCACCCAGCTTTTGCTGTGGTCATAAATAAAAGCTGATATTTTTTGCAAGCCTCATTCTGACTCTCTGCCATTTCAGTGGCTCGAGGAAATTGCTGGAACCTTACAGTACATTGAATAAACCAAGATAAATCAAAGTAACCTTTGTTAAATGTTCTAGTACAGTTTGCCTATGGGTTAAGACCAGTCCTTCTCAAGCTTTTTCCTTCATTACCAAACTATCTTCATTTAAATATCCCTGTTCTTATTTGTAGTTTATGTCATCATCACTAAAAAACAAACAAACCCTATTTTCAACCAATTTCCATATTTTACCCAGGTTTCTACAGTTCTACTGAATCTAACACGATTAACCCTTATTCATGGTTCGACACAGAGTGCAAAAAGACCAGTACGGTTTATTCAAGAAGCCAGTTTTAAATATGGGGTAATATGGGAAATTTAGCCATGTGCAACCAAAAGAACTCACCAGTGTGCCTGCGTGCCTCTCCTATTTATATTCATTTCTTTCATATTTATCCATGTTTTATATTTTTATACCTGCTATCTTGTATGTGTTTGTCTAAGGCTAAACTATTTAAGCATTTGAAAATGAATCGGAGGCAATGCTCAAAACATAAAGGACAATTATTTTGCTCCTTGTCTACGTTTGTGTCAATAAATAAAATAAAACAGTGCAAATTCTGGGTTAAATCTTGTAATTTAAATTGAACTTGTAATTTAAGTCTTGTAATTTAAATTTAACCCTGTAATTTAAAAGGGGGCGTGCATAAACTCACCAGTGTGCCTACGTGCCTGTCCTATTTATATTCATTTCTTTCATATTTATCCATGTTTATATTTTTATACCTGCTATCTTGTATGTGTTTGACAAACTAATAAATAAAAATACAAATTAACCACCTGTCCCACTGCCCCCATCTATTTGTATTTGTTTCTTTCCTTTATATCCAGGTTTATATTTATACCTATCTTGTACATGTCTGACAAACTAATAAATAAAAATACAAATTAACCACCTAGCCTGAAAACAAAAACAAAGATTCACAGGCATAGCTTTGTCTCTGATATAAAATGAAGGAGTGCAGACACCAAATAAGCATCTCGGGGGAAGAGGAACAGAAGAGAGAGAGAACAGTTCAGCCAAGGAATGGTAAAATTCTGTACTTGCCTAAAGCTAACATGTAGCCTTCGAAATTCTCAGACCGGACAAAATTCCAGCTACCGCTGAAGTCCACCGGCATGGCTGAAGAGAAGGGAAGCACCTGAGATAAACACAAACTTTTAAAGGGTCTAAGGATTCAAATGAGGACTTCTAATTCCCCCCATGCCTCCTTTAAATAAGGGGAAGCAGGAAGGGCTTACAATAGGAGGTGGGATCTGTTGCAGCTGGGATTTTAGAGGATAAAGTTCAGATCAGCTGTAATCCAGGGTGTAGCGTCAAAAAGTAACCGTTTCATGAGTCAAAGGCACAGCAACATTTAAGTTGTCGTTGGAGTTTATTTAAAGCTCCATGAAGCTCCATATAGATGGTCTCACAACTGAGGAGCAAAAATTGATGTTGGTAAGCGAGAGGGTTGATAAGAAAGTTTTGCCTCGTTTTAAGACCTTCCTTGCCTCCGTTGTTAAGTGAAGTTAACTGCAGTTAGTAAGTTAGGAACATGGTTGTTAAGTCACGTGACACACACACACCCCAGGACACTGCGACCGTCATAAATACAAGTCAAGAGTCCAAATCCTGAGGATGTGATCATGGGAAATACAACAATGGTCATCTTGGGATGCTCAGTGGCTAAGACGCTGAGCTTGTCTATCAGAAAGATCAGCAGTTCGGAGGTTCGAATACCTAGCGCCGCATAATGGAGTGAGCTCCCATGACTTG